TTTAATCACACCAGAAGATTGTTTATCTCAAACAGTGGGGATAGATAATTTCTGTGATATTTTATGCTCAGAGATTCCTAAAGCAGCAAAAACATTTATGTTTCCTAGTTCAGAAGTCCTATTTTGCTTAGCCCCCACCCAATCTGAATACTCACTGTTTTGATGCACTTATGAAGGATAGATTCATGAATAAGATCAAGCTTGCCAAGTTCTCCAATGAATTTGATGTTCCCCAGCATCTTGATCTTGGCAATGGCTCTCTGTTCCTCCTCCTCAGGGAGGAGGGGACCATCATGCTTATCATAGACTGTAAAACAAAGAAGCCTGTTTAACACAGCTGTAGAGTAAGAAGTTAAATAAACTCTGTATTAAAATGGTTTTAAAGCTTACTATCAACATTTCTGGTTCGGTTTTCAAATTCATCTTGAAGTTTAGATATTAAGAGGCGTCTGAATGTCTAAGAAAAGAGCACAAAGGAAACGATTAAGCTAATCAGTACAACTATACATGCTAGCAAAATTTACCATTCCAGACTGAGATACACTCACTGTGCTTTGCTTCTGTCCTGGATGACTCTCTGCTGATGGGCCATCAAAGTTGGGTGCATCTTCTGCCAGTCGCAGACATAGTTGAGCATACAGTGAGCTATACTTGGGCTCTTCAAGGGCTTTGTCTACGATCTAAACGAAGTTAAGTAAGGTAGCATGTAGTAGGATGCAAATGTTATTAGGAAAGCAAGCTGTAATACATACAACAGAATATCACCTACGTGGTATCACTTTTACGTGATCCAGAACATGTAACCATTTTTTGCCATTTCATCAACCATACGGAAATAACTGATTTTGTTTTAACACTAGTCTTAACACTGAAGCAAATGAAAAAAAGTTACTCTATACTACCAAAGAGTTTCGATACTCCTTAGCCAACAAATGGGACAAATGAGGTATTTATCATCAGAACACCAAACTATGTTTAATAGGAGACCAGATTGGTGATATTAAGTGACACCGTTGTTAAAACGGTGTACCAAGAGGTCACCTGTGGTAGCTTTTCCAAGACTGTTAGGCCTGTTTGTCAGGAAAACAGGAAGAGGTGGGGTGAGAGAAATAACATTGCTACCTAAAACAAACCAACAAAAGTATCACCAATCATGCTTAGTGACTCTTCAGTCTTCTAAAACACGAAGTTAGAGCCTTAAGTCTACTTCCTCCCCAGTATACTTTTTACACAAAAAAGCAGGAATGGTATTTCTGTATGTTTGGATTATCAAGCACCATTAGCCATGTTACTTCTGTACCCCATCAAAAACAGCCAACCTCTTCAGTTTTAACATACAAGAAAACTGCAGTTGGAAGAAATGCAGCCAACTTACCAGCAGTATGACCCCTTTTAGGATGAGCTTAGATTCTACACCCACATTGAGGAGCTCAAGGCATAGCTTGTCAAACTTTTCAGGAGTAAGCTTATTTAGTATGCTAAAGAGGAACAAACAAAAATAAAAATCCAGTTAATAGATACTGTAAGCATGCTACAAGTTTACTACTTAAGTCTATGAAACAAAATTGAAAAGTGTCATTTTCCATTCAACTACTTTTTTGAGTTACCTTTAGAATGTAAAGTACTACTGACTACTTCTGAAGTGTTTGCTGTTACTGGCCTATCAGTTTCTCCCTCTTTCCCTCCAAAGGGCACCACATACCCCCCCCCATGCCCTCACCCCAAACTCAAGACTTACATGTCTTCCTTTTCTCCAGCCCACTTGTTAGAGATATATATTGCTAAAGAAAGAAAGAAGAAAAAAATCTCAAAGAACTTACCCTCTTACTTTCCTGAAGATTGCATCATGTCGTTCTTTGTCATTTGCGGAGTCGTCATCTCGTCTAGTGCTTCGTGAAGGAATCCATTTCTGAGCGTTTTGCCCTGGGGTTTTCCCCAGGAACTCGCTGTAAAATTTTCAGGGATATGATTGTTGAACAGAAATTAACAATTTCAAGAACTGGCCTTTCAACCTTTCAATATTGCCTTAAACTAATTCTGTTACTAGATTTGTTAAGAGCATGCACTTACCCCTACTAATACTGCAACATCTGTTGCACAGTATTCACTCAACAATAATAATTAAAAGACAGCCAAGAAAACCCTCTGAACTTTTCAAGTGATATGCACATGAAAGTCTTTGTACCTCCTATCACCCACGACATACACTTTCAACAGATTATATGCTCTCTTGCTACAGACTGAATGACATTAACACATAGGCACTCTGTAGGCATTCCTTAAAGATACTCGATTTTCAACTCTGTATTCACTATCAAGCATGCTCTGCCTTTAAACTCATGCCAAATCAAAGAGTAAGATGACATACCTGTTGCTGGCAGTCTTGGGATAGTGCTGAGGTGCACCCCTACCACCTCCTCCGCCTGAAGAAGCACTGTTAAAAACAACATTGTAATCTTGTTTAAGTTCAAAGTCCCAATGCTTTCAATTACATGTCAGTTTTGGTATAAACGTAAGACAAATTTAAATTCTCCTCAAAGGACAGCTTCCACTGACAAGCATTCATCAGAACAACAACAAAAAGCACTGGTACCTGAAACGAGAAGCACCCCCTTCTGCAATCGCACTCTCCACTTTGGCGGCTTGACAACGAAGAATCTTCAAAAGAATAAAATTAAATTGACGGGGTGGGGAAAAACAAAACCTAGAAAGACAAATCAAGCATTCATATTATAGTTGTTTTACTAGCACCCATAGTATCTAACTTACAATAAAAGAACAAATTTTTGTTAGAGAAGGGGAACCCTCAAGCATTAAACTTCATAAAAAGCAAGAAAACTCTTGTTCAAGCAATACTTGGGATACTCACAGGAAAGCCAATTTCATCATTATAGCCATGTTTTCTAACGGGGGTAGGGGGAAGAAATAAAGGGATCACCAACTGAGGAAGCGAGAGCCTCAAATTTACCCTGTCAATCCCCCAAAATCACTTGTAAGGGGGGAAAAAAAAAAACAACTCGTTTCTGTATTCCGGCTAGTACAGCATAATAAAATGAATCCTGTATATGCTTTACAAACAATGATTAATTATGGCACGACAAAGTAGTCAAGTTTCAAAGCGAGAAATACCAGATCACAGAATGCATATTTAATACAGTAAAATGGATGTATTCTACATCGAAGTCCAAACGGCCAATTAAGCCATTAAATAAAGAAAAAAAATACTGCCCTTCCCCACCTCAAATTTTAGCTTTTAAGACAGCAACGGGAAGAAAAATTTCACTGCACTGCTCACGTAGTAGAAAACTGATCACGGGGATAGAAACTCCTGGGGAGCGCGTAAAAAAACCCCACAAGCATTCTGAAGTTCCATCACAGATCCGTTCCGAGGCACTACAGCACTGAGCACAAAGCCACCTCCTCGGAAGGAACGCCCGACACAAGGCGCCTCTCGCCATTAGGGCCGCGCTCCGCGGCCGGCTCACACGAGGAACGGCTCCCAACATGGCGGCGGCCGAACAAAAGGGCTGCAGGCGCGGGCGGGGCGCCCCCCGCAGGAGGCGGGCGCTACCCGGCTGCACCGAGCGGCTCCGGGCGCACCGAGCCACCTCCCCTTCCCCCGCCGGGCACCGCCCGTTTCCAGGCTCGGGCGCTTCCCGGAGCCCGACCGGCTCTTTGTTCTCTGCCAAGGAGGGGACTGGGCTCCACTCCTTCGCTGCCGGCGGAAAACGGCGCCCTCCACTCGCGGCACCCGCCCCGGTCCGCCCGGAAAAGGGGGGGCGGAGGGAGGCAGTCGGTATTGCACCCGCATCGCCGCCCCCCGTTCAAGCAGAGCCTCCGCTTTACTCGCCGCCCAAGCGTGAACAGGAAACATGGGCGAGGCTGCTGCCGACAGACACGGCTTCTCGGGAACCCGCACTCCCTTCCACGAGGGACAGACAGAAGTAGATCAACAGTAGCAAAAAAATCCCCTTGCCGCCGATTCTTGGGAACAAACAACTTCCCCTCCCCCTCCAGCAATACGTATCATAAAAGATCCTCAGACCGCAGCCCGCTACATGCAGCGAGGATACTCCTCCCCAAGGGCAAACCTCTGGGCACCCAGAGCCCCTAGAGACCGCCTCTAGAAACGCGGATCCTGCAACCAGCCTGATGCCCCGAAAAGCAGAGCTACGAAGAAACACTACCCAACCCCATCTCTCTTGCTGCAGATACGTGGCTCTAACCTCAAATGCTTCTGCTCAGCTTCTCTTCCGCGCCCCGGGGGGAATGCCGGTTTCCTCCACCCCTTCGCTTAGCATTCCCGGTAACGCGAAAGCGGACAACAGGTCCGGCCATCAACCCGAGCCGCCATTTTGTGCGGAAGAAAGCGAGAAGCCGACGAGAAAATGGCGGCCAGTTCGGACAGCCGCCATTTTAAGCGGCAGCTGCAGCAGTACCCGCTCCCTCCCGGCCCCACATCACTCTCCCACCACTCCCGCGTTTCTCACCTTCCCTAAGGCCTTGTCAGCTTCCCCGGGTCCCGGCGGCTACCAAGGGTAGGGGAAAAGGCAAAAGAAGGGGGGGGAGGGGAAGGGAGCCGGGGACCGGGGCTGGGGAGGGGAAGGGGGGAGCGCGCGAAACAGGGCGAGTCTCCGAATCACCACAGCAGGATCAGTAACGGCCCAACGCTGCCCCCCGCCACCTCCATAGAGAGCCGACTCGCTGCCGCTTCTAAAGCGCACCGAGCCAGCTCCACTAACTTTATTACCTTTCACGCAACCTACCCTACCTCCCTTCAGCAGCCGCCAATCGCCGCGAAGGGCTCCGCCCGTCTTGCCAATCACAACCGAGAAAGGGGGTGGCCTTAACGTCGAAGTGGGCGGAGGAGGGAGGAAGTTTGGTTGAACTGTGCCATCGCCGCAGTGCAGCATCCGTATTCGCGAAAGAAGTTACGCCACATAGTTGGTGGTAGGGCCTAGGAGGGAAGGGAAATTTGCGCAAGTGTCGTACTCGGTTAATGGCGGCAGTTTGGCCAGTGCTTTCCTTTGCTGTTTGCTCCTGTGCTTCAACTATCAGAGCGCCCCAGTTCTAGAGGCCTAGAGTGTGAGTTACAGTCGATTCTGTCACGTTCATAGAAGGGTAGTTTAGTATATACTCTCATAAGGGTTTTTTTTATTATCATCATTATTATTATTATTTAATAATTTTATTTAAGCCTAGTTTTCCCTTCAGTCAGACCACATTTCAAATTCGGTTGTGGTAAAGAATTAGCTGATTACAGACTGTAGTCCTGAGCTTGCAATCAGATCCGAAGAAGGAGACTTGCTATTTGAGCTCCAAGAGCCTGTCTGTACGGATCCAATTTCAGGTTTGCTTTCTGGGTTTGGAAGCTATTTCTATCTCTGCATGTGCTTTTAGCTATTAACCGACCTGTTCTGTGGCAGGGTGTCTCGCAGACAGTCCATGGACAACCAGGATCCTTGAGAGACATTTTAATGTATTTATCACGCTAAGCACACAGCTGGTGGGGTTTTCTTGCTCCTGCTCAGTTAAACAAAACAAAGATGGCCAGGCTTTTAGTTGTAGGTGGAAGTTTGAATAATGAGAGACTTCCAGAGACTTACCAGTGTGACGGTTTATCCTTTAACAGGCAGATCTGAGTCCCAGGTTGTTGCTGAGGTAGCAGCTATATGGACTTGCCAAAGATTCAAACTTACTAGCCCTAGATGGGGCAGGACAGAAAACAAGAGCTCAGTAAACCTGACAACAACCCCCCCAAACATCTACATCTGCTGTGTTCACACACACACCTTCCGCTTTCAGTTTGTGTGAGTCATAATTCAGATGACTGGGAGAAAGTGGTACATGTAATAACTCTTGAGCCATATGGACAGCAAGTCCAAACAAATGATATTGCAGAACTTCCAGTTTCCCAGAGTTAACCTCATTCCTAAAGCTTTCAACACAGTGTGCCACAATGTCCCGAGGGTTATATAAGGCCTAAAGGGTGCTGTTGTACAGGAATTCTTACATTGCATCTTATCTGGGATGAAGTTTGTTCAAGATAGGTTTCCCCATCTCATAACCGTAAGCATTAAGGACAGTTTACTTTTCAGAGTGTGTTATGGAAAATCTTGAATAAACTACCTGAAAGTAAGTTTTGAGTGTGTACGTGTTGCATGAGGGTGAACATAACTGTGACAAGTACTTGTCATACCAGAATTTTTATATAATGACTCTTTCCTGCATTTAACAGTAGTCATATTACTGCAAGATCTTAGACCTTGCATGTGAATCTCTACGCAATTCTGTTCTTGTAAAGAACTCCATTGAAATCAATGGAATCCAGTTTGAAAGAAGGGGTCAATGGGCACAGAGGGCAACACAGCAAAGTCAACAAGAATTATGCCAATATTAAGGCCAGTTAATATTATTGAAATAAATGTTCTCAGAGTAAAAAGTAATAAAAATACTTATAAATCTTAAAAATGTCAGTGAAAGCAAGGATTTTGTTTTTCATGGGATGGCAGAATATTCCCATGCATTGTTTCCAGTATAAGCATTCCAACACTGTTTAGGGCAGAGACCCCATAAATGAAAATTAAGGAGAATTTAACATTTTTTGGAGGGGTGAGGGGGTGGGAGGAAGAGGAGAATGGAAAACCTGCAAAACATGGTAGGTACCTATTGACAGATTAAAGTGTCACATTTTTTGTTTATTTTAAAACATACTATAAAATACTTATTACCATAACAACAGAAAAAAAAAAAGCCAATTTGGTCAATAAGAGAATAGCAGAAAATAATTGCTGTTTTCTTAAAACTGTGACTGTTTTTTTGGGACTCAATTCTGCATTATATTAAGACCAGCAGGATATATGTTATTTGGTAGCTCTCACTGACTTCAGCAGGTGGGAACCTAAGAAGTTTCTGTGCTTGGCTGCTCATAACTTTCCTTCACATCTGTGCCACACTTTGTCAGCCTCATAGACCAGCTGCACTAGTACAATTGATGAAGGCAATGAACTGTAGTACAGAGGACAAAAAAGATTGTGAAATGCCTTCTATTTTATACACCTCACCTACTTCTTAAATTCCATAAACTAATGTGGAAGACAGCATTATTTATGTCTGAGAATGTAGCAGCCCAATTGCTTATATGATTATTCAGTAACAAATTTACCTAAATAATTTTTTCAATTTGTCCCTTTCACAAAAATAAAATTAAAAAAAAAAAATCAGCAAATGGAATTGAACAGCTATCAGTTTCAGTATCACCTTGCACCCATCAGTCACCTTACTGCATTGTCCAAATTCACCCCTCTGTATTTTCCCCATTTATGTCTTCCATTTGCCCTGAACACCAGTGATGCTTTAATTCAAATAAGCTGTTTTACAGTTGACATAGTGGTAGTTCTGGATTTTTTTCTGCAAGTCTGAACTTGCAGCACCTATGCATAGTACCAACTTGAGTGCATTATCACTGGTTATTTAGAGGAGATGGGTTGTCTGTGAAGCGTCATGAGGAACCTACCGTGTTGCAGACTGTGTGGCACAGAAACAGGAGTTGCTGCCACAGATGCTGCATCTGGCTGAGAGGAAGCAGAATGCCTCTTGCTGCGCATATGGTGTAGCTCAGAACCTGGACTAGCTGCTGTCATCTACCAAAATAACCCACAAAATGTCGGAAAGGAGTTTTTGCAGAACTGGGAGTTTTTCCTTACTATTGCCAAGCTGGAATCACCATGACTTATCCTGTGTAGTAGGTTGCACTGCAGTGATTACAAAGCTGAGCCCTGCTGGGTGGAGAGTCCAGACAGAGTGCTGATGACAGGGTAGCTGTAGCAGTGTGGCATTGTACTGTCTCCAGTAAATACTGCATCTCATCACTGTACTGGTTCTGGATCTAGCTAGGTTGGGTTTTATGTAGAGTGCACCATTAATATAGACGTGCATATATAATACGAACCAAAGCATCCATATAGAGAATTGCTGCAGAGTAAATAATTCACTGAAAATTCACACCCTAGTTAACTCCATGCTCATTTCTCCAACACAATCACCTCCTGCACCTTCTTATTTTCCAAACAGTTCTTCTGCCTGGCTGTTTTCAACTGAGCCTCATCTTTCTCCAAAACCATGTATATATAGTTCCTGACCCACCCTATGAACAAAGCAGCTGGCACAAACATTTAACCAAAGGTACTCATGTAGTTTTTCCTGTGATAGAAGTCTGTCTCAGTGGGAGCTGTACTGTAGAAAAAAGGCCTGGGGAAAAAAAAAAAAAAAAAAACCAAAAAAACCAACAACAAAAATCACAGCCAAATTGAAAAACACACCTGTATTTTTAAGTATTTTTTTTGGCATTTCTACCAAAGCAGAATGCTCTTAATGGCAAACCCATTTATACTGTGCAGATGTATTATTATAAGAATTGATTGCATTGTCTTTTGGAAAAATGCACTAATATATTGGTTATATGCCTAATTTGTACAATATAGCATGGATAGTGTGAAAGTTGCAGAAAGCTTTGTGGTTGTTCTCTACAGGATTTTAATTTGCAGAGTATTGGTATTAAACTTCTGAATATCTGTAGAGGTGACTCTTAATGAGGCTGATTTAACAATACTCACAGAGGTAAGAACATTTCATTGCTTCTAAACAGTGGTGGACTTCTAGCCACCTGGGAGTTCACTTCTCTTTTCCCTTTCTTCGGAAAATCCTTTGCAGTAGATTTGAGTGAGTTTTCTTTCTAATAAAACCAATGGTTTTGCTTTCATTCAGTTGTCCTCAGAAATGTAGTTCCCTATACCTTAACTCAGCACCTGGATTTCCTGCTGCTCAGAACCAGTCCTTTATCATATATATTAAAAAAAAAATAAAATTAAAACCTTCTTATTCTCTATTTAAGACCCTGAAGACTTGCTACATTTCTTAAGTGTAACAATTAGTCTGGCAGTTATAATTTAATGGGTGTCTTATGGTGGTTCTTTGTCAGAAATTTGGAAAGATATTTGGGGTGTGACTTTATAGTTAGTGAAAATTGCCTAGAATACTCGTGTCAGAGATACTGATATTTCATCAGTGCATGTTTATACAGGCAACTAATGAGGCAGAGCCCATAACAGTACAGCTTGCTTTGCTTTCGGAGTCCTATTTAGAACAGTGAATATTTTTAGCCAATATAATTGTACTAATGCATAATCATCATAACTTTCAAAGAGGAAGATTGCATATGTATTCCCAGAATGGTTTAAGGAAAAAAAACCCAAACAAAAAGCCCAAATGCAACAGTGTCTGTCTTCTCAGCAGGCCTAGTTCAATAAAACATATAAGCTGCACAATTTTTATGTTCTCTTGTCTTCTAAAATGACAGATTTGTTCATATTCTTTAGCATCAGCAGAGTGAGTGTGCTGTACTGCAGTGTTCTGTTTCTGATACTGGTTAGCACCAGCTTTACAATAAAGTAAGAAAACTTTAAAATTTATGATTTTCATTATTTGCCAAGAGAAGAGCTTTTCTTTCTCCTAACCACTGCCAGTTCGTGTTTAAACTACCCTAAAACATGTTTATAATTTGTAATTTATATACTTATTAGTATTTCAATTTTCTGTGTTAATGTTTACTTTTGACACCTTTTAGGCCTCTCCAGTATAATGTCTTAGTGCATTCTGTGGTTTAGTTGTACAGTGTTTAAGAAGTAATAATCTTCGTATCATTTTTAAAATGTATTGGTTTGATTCTATTGTAATCTGCCTGCTTAAGTGGTTTTGTGGCAGTCATCTTCTATATGAAATACTTATATTAAAAAATACCTACCGGAGCTGAACACAAACTACAGCTGATTGAGTTGGAAGAGCATGAGAGTGTCCTATAGCTGCATTACATTACTCTTGTCTTTATAAAAATGCATTATTGAATTCAGAAGTGTGGATAGGAAATTACTTACTATTATTAAAATGTTGCACTCTCTATTATAAAAATAATTTTGTATTATCTTTTTCATTGCAGAAAATGCTGTGTCATGGTTTGTGTCTGTAGGAAACACTAGGAATATACCATAAAACACATACATACTTCTAGTTGCTAGTAGGAAAGGGCT